CTCTATACCCCTTGGGGTCCCTAGGGACCCCCCTTTTTGAGAAACTCCCACCTGGATGCGGTTTAGGGATTAGGATTTAGGGATGAGGGTTTAAGGTCCAGGGCCTGGGGATCAGGGTTTAGGGTTTAGGCATTAAGGTTGAGGGATTTTACAGGGTTCAGGGTTTAGGAACTCGGGTTTAGGTTTAGGCATTTCATGGGGGTTTAAAGTTTAGGGATTCGGGTTTAGGGATTGATGGGGTTTAGGACGTCGCGCAGGGACTCAAACACACAGAACAGAGCGTACCTGGAACCCCAAACTATGTAGAATCTCAGCCTGCTTTGCCCTTTTCATGGGTTGCAGGCCAGAATTTAACCAGGATCCTCAATGCGCCAGGACGACACAGGTCCCCTTTTTTGAGTATTGCTTATCTTAATAGAAACCTTCGGACCTAAAACTGGGGAAAAGGGCTTACTCAACATCCCTGCTAACTATTGGGGTCCAGAGAACGTATTTTGGGATAAACCGCTTCAGGATGTATACGGGGGCTAAACGCCTTGTGGGCTTCATGAGTAGCTCCTAACCCACTTCGAAAGAGAGGTCATCCTGAAATTCTCTTCGCATTGACGGCCCCACTCTAAAGCCTAAACCCTATACCTCACAATGCCACAATTCAGGTTTTTCCAGCGGTTCCACCCGGGGCAAGCCGCTGAAGATTTCGCGGTTCCGTTCAGGGTCTGATGATGATTCCCTTTAAGCCCTGTTGAACGAATCAGTTAGGGCTTAGGGTTTAGGACAACCTGCAGAACTCTTGAAATCGCAAGCAATACAATACGGCAGAGGAGGTGAAAGTGGGCGGGCCCTGATCTCTGGAGAACCGCTTTCCGTGCAGGCTGTTACTTTTTCGGGGCGGATACCTTAGAAAACGTCAAGCAACGCATGTCCAGAAGCGACAGCAGCAAATTGCAAGGCTAGGGCAGCCGTAGTCTAGAAGAGCGCACACCTAGTCCCCTTAAGTAGAACGAATATGGCTTTGGGTATATTATAATAAGATCCCCACGTACCCCATATTCTATCTACTTAAGGGGGACTATAAACCCTAAACCGGATGACATGCAGATCAGGGTCCCGGACTCTGGGCAGTCAACATAGCCATAGGCGATAGACTTTCCGATGGTGTGGCCTAAGCGTGGGCTGTGGGCCTAGTTGTAGGGTTTAGGGTTTTAGGGCTTAGGGTTCATAAGGGTTTAGGGTTTAGGGCTCATAAGGATCTAGGGTTGTAGGGTTTAGGGTTCATAAGGGTTTAGGGTTCATAAGGGTTTAGGGTTCATAAGGGTTAAGGGTTCATAAGGGTTAAGGGTTTTAGGGTTTAGGGTTCACAAGGGCTTAGGGTTTAGGACTTGGGAGCCCTAAAGGTGGGGTACAATGCTTGTCGTCCTGCCGCCCGTCTTGTTGGGAATGATGGAATGGGCAAGAAAATGGAAACTACTTTCGTCCGCCCAAACTACAGGGAACCACTCCTCTATTTACTGCTGACCAGTATAAGTCCTCTTGGGATGGGGTTCATGAACAAAATGAGCAGAGGTTCCCAGGAAAAGTCCTGTCTAAAGTCATGTGGATGATTTCCTTAAATGGCTGAGTCTGACAGCTTGGAGGGTCAGGTGACTACGAATAATACCCCTTGCAAACCACATGAGAATCCATGTATCCCCACAGGTTGCCTACTTAGTACTACATGCCCCGGACCTTCCTAGTACCAAGGCCAGAGAGGCCCAATCAGCTTTTCTGGGAAGAAGCGTTCTCCTTCGAGTCTTTGGCATGGCATGAGTATATACTCTTGCTATTTCTTGCTCAATTTGGGATGGGGCATGGAACCCTGTAGGGGTCCCGAAAGCTCCGCCAGAAAAGAGTTCTGAGGTTGTCCTGAAGATTCAGGGCTTCTAAAAACAGGAGACAAGGCTTCGGCCATGGCATGCAGCAAGAGGACTACTTTTTCCCAGGAAGTGCGATATGAAGCTGATTGAGTGCCTACATGCATTCCGTGCCATCCTGAACCACTCGTGGGCTCCGAAAGACAAGCATGAGCTTCTGCACTCCTCCTTGATTAAGACCTTCGGTCTTAAATCATCCGTGGTGCTGAGGAGCCCTCCAGGCATCCTCCGTTGGCCCTCGGGACGACATTCTTTACCGTCTTATGGGCCCAAAAGCATGCAACCGTATGTGGCAAACTTATGCATCCTTCCATACATGAATCCAGCTTGATGCGGCCTGCTTCGTGTAAACATTGCTCCATGACAAAGAACATCTCCCATTCAAATGCCTATGACGCCATAGCCACAAGATATACCGAAGCTGACGATCAGTTGGCAGCTCTCTACCCATCACACCAAAGCCCTCCATTGGCACAAGGCGCAGGGACAGGCGAGCTACCTGATCTGTTTTCAAACCAGAAACCGTCAAGCCTTCTGCTCGCAGGCCATTTTTCAAAGCTTCACAAGTCATGAGGCTCAAGACATCCTTGCACAGCCTCGGCCTATCACTCCGGTTCTCTGTATCATCATCCAACGAAGAAACCGTGCTCTGAGCACCTGGAGAACTGCGTGGCTGAGGCTCTGCTGCAGGCTGGTGTGAAGATCTAGCGCGCGGAGTCGTTGGTTGCTCTGGCTCTGGCAACCTGTTGGCTTGGGAGGTTAAAGAAGTTGTCAGCGCCGACTGCACAGCGCCTTGAACCTCTCGTGCCGTGACCTCCTTTAATTGTAAGCGCTCGATCTCTTCCTCAGCAGTTAATCTGGCCAGCTCGCGAAGTCTCTTCAGTCTGGTCTCCCTTTTCAGATACCGACGCACCCACTTCACAAGCATCTTGCCAAGCTCCCAAAAGAAGACAGCTAACACAGCTACCACACTAGCCACCAGAATCAGCTCTTCGGTACCGGAAACTGCTAGAGGCTCTTTAGTCTCAGCATTCGAAGCTTCGCCGGCATTAGCTCGAGGAACTTCTTGAAGAACAGTCAAAACACAGTACGCGACCACAGCCCTGGCTATCTGAACACATATAGCTTCTTCAGGCAAATCATCAAAGCTCCACTGCTGCAGTAAGTCCAGTAGTCTGGCGCGAGGGTGCATCTTCGTGGACAGATCTGCCAGTTGATAGCGGCCTTCAGTATGAAAAACATGCAAGGCGCCACAAGCCACCTGTTCACGAATATAGTTGCACCGAAGCTTTAAATGACGTGTTCTCCAAGTTCCTGCTCCTCCTTGGAGCATGAGCGTTGCTGCGGAGTTGTCTACCTTGAGCACCCGAGGAACCCTTCGAGAAAGAATTTCATCTAACAGACAGCCAATGCTTTCCAACAGCACTGCAGCTGTTGTGGCTTCTAGCAGCTCGCTTTCCATTGTGGAAAGGGTGATCATAGCCTGTTTGCCAGCCTTCCAAGCAACTGGTCCACCATTGACAGTTATCACTGACGCACCGTACGAACGACCACCATAAGGGGAGAAACTAGAGTCACTATATCCTACCATTTCAACCTCAGAGGTGCCTTAGTGCTTGCTGAAGGACTGCTGCTGCTGCTGTTGCTGCTGCTGAACTTGTTCTCACCCAAAACCAGCTTGAGGTTCTGTGTTGTGACCAAGTACGAAAGCACCCGTTTGGCTATTTTTGCAACCCGTCTCGGATGTCGAGAAACCCATTGTGACATATGACTGACCACAAACTGCAAATCGGGTCTGCATCTCATGGTGAGCCATAACTGTTCTCCCACCACACGCTGTCCAAACCTCAACTCGGCCTCAGTAAAGTCTTCAGGTTCAGGAGAAACGTCATCTGAGATCCACTCCTTGGGACAGGGCAATGAAGTTCCAGGAGCTTCCAGCATGTCATGCGATCGAAGCAAATCGAGGATGTACCCCTTCTGATGAATCTCGTACGCTCCGGAGGACCTTTGAAAGACTTCCATGCCAAGATAGCGAGTACCACCTGTTGCAGATGCCCACTCCAGATTGCTACATGGCCACGCTTCCAGCACCCATGCACGGACTACAACGACCAACTTGTCCTCTGCGACATAGAACAGGTCGTCTACATACGTTATCACACAACCAGTAGCACATCCTCACCCTCAAAGAAGATAAACCACAGTTCAGAGTCGACCTTTGAAGCTCTTAGAACCAGGTACTTGTCCATGTAGGGGATTCTGGCCTGGGAAAACCTTGTGGATCTGTAAGACGCCCATATCGCTGGCGACTCCCGAAGGCCGTACAATGGCCTGCAGACAAGCCAGTAGGCATTTTCAGCCACGTAGCCATTATCGACCAAAAGGCGCGGTGGTACAACTGCGTAGCGGTGGAGGTGCTCCGGCCAAGGTGCTAGGAGGAACGCCCCAGTTATGTCAGCGGTGGCCCCTTGCCACCCCCTGCCTGCTGCTATCGCCAGCACAGTTCTGAAAGTTTCTGCTGAAGCACCTCCAGCATACAACGAGCCGAACTGTTCTTCAGGGGCAGCAAAATTGCCGCACAACACTAAACGATACTTCCTTTTGTATCGTTCGTTCTTGCCAACTGGGGGTTTCAACGTGTGGACACCCTTGCTCGGCACTAAGCGGAGTACGCCTTGACGTTCCAGGCGGCGAGCTTCATCTCGACTTATCTCAATCAGAGTGCCTCCTTGAAAAAGGTTATCCAGCTCCTTACGAATGGCAGCATTCCATCTACTGACAACCGGTTTGACCTGAGCCACCCAGAGATTCCAAAAGCCCT